TAGCATCACCCCGATACAGCGCGACTAGGCATTAATTAAAACGACAAAACAAAATAACATTCGACTTCAGTTGCAGTCAGAATTCACACTATTCCAATGGGAGAATTAATTAAATACTGCCTCTCGTTACGGGTGTAGGAGACTGGATGCGACATTTATGTGAAAATTTTTCTATAAAAAAAATATTTTTGTATTAAATACATTTTTGAACATTTTATTCAGCAATCATGCCAAACTCGCCAAAACTACCCCATACGACAATTCATAACATCACGCCTTTTATCCCCGAAGTGGTAGGCAAAGGTGCACATTATGACACGTAATGCCACTATAGAGGTATATACAATGTAACACTCACTTTTCACTATTTATATTATAAGTTCCAGTCCCAGGCAACCGGCTGCCGCGCAATGTGGAGCGGGTTTGATTCCCGTACGAAGCAATTCTTTGTGTGATCCCCCAAATTTTGTTTCGGGTCATTTGTATGTGATATTGTATGTTTGTAAACGCACCCACGACACAAGAGAAAATCGAAAAAAAAGTGTAAGGGCTATGTTTTTTTTAAGAATAATAGGTAATAAAAGATACTAAATAGCAGACGATAGTTTTAGAAAAAAATACTAATATAAAAATCATTTGAAATAAAAATACAATCATATTTCATTAATTTTAATTGTCTAAAGCTATTTTAGGGGCACGCCACATCCAGTGTTGGCCAGTCCACGGCCTACCCCGGTAGACAGTGGGGCCATAAATTGAGGTGTGCTGTCAATTGCACCCGTCCGCCAATAGTTGCGGTTCGACGCCGGCCCGTGCATATGCGGTGGCGGTACAAATTTTACATGACATTTGTACCTTTTTTTGTTTCATTTTTCGTTTTTGTTTCAAATGTAAGTATGTATTGCGAATTAAAATATTTATTTTTGGTCATTGTTTTGTCATTTGTCATCAAACTACCTAAAAGGAAAGCCTTTTAGGTCGAATTAGTTATTCTACTTAAATTAGCTATGAACCGGTTATAGCAAAAAAAAAGTTTGTAAAAGAATTGTAAATTTTGGTAAATAAATTCAGAAAAAATATATTTAATGATATGAATTCTCTGCTAAAGAAAAATAACAATAACATAAATAACAAAAAAACAACTGTCACTTGTTTTTAATAGAAAACAAAAATTATAAAAAAATTACCGCTTCCAAATTACTATCAACAAAATGTCTATTGCAAAAAAAAAACATCACAATAATAAAAAATGATTACCTAATCATCACTATGCTATACGGTCCATTATTTCGCTCCCCACTCTCAACGCCTCGGTAGCGCAGTAGGCAGCGCGTAAGTCTCATAATCTTAAGGTCGTGAGTTCGATCCTCACCCGGGGCAAATCTTTTTGTAATTTTTATCTTTCTTTTAACAATTTTTTCGACATATTGAGCATTAAAAATGACATTTCAGTTATAAAAAACTGGATAAATTGTTTTTTTTTTGTTTTTTCCTAGTACATTACGACTGTACGATGTCCGCAAAAGATAAAAATGTTTGTTTATTTATATAAATAAATCAATGCAAATATTTGATTAATTACATTGAAACTTAAAAAAGATATACTTATATAATTTTATTGTTATTTACAACGCAGAAAACTAACATATATTCAGAAATATCAAGACCTATTTCGAAATACTTCAAGCACTAAATTTCGTTACCACGCCACAATTGACATAGGTCCAAAATAAAACGATATTGGACATAAACATATAAAAATACAATAAAAAATTAAGGCGAAAAATATCCTTGAACCATGGCATCGTTCCCATAGAAACGATGGCGACATCAATCGAATTATTTAGCTCTAAATCAATTGTTATGACTCAGTATCTAAACACGATATAATTGGTGTGTGAACGGACATTTTATTTGTGACCCACTTTAGAATTTGTTGGTCGTATTGGCTCTTTTATTTATATAAAAATATGATAGGTAGGTACTAACTGGCACAGTTATTCGTAGTTTTAGTTGTAGCTAAAAAAAATTGTACTGATTACAATTAAAAGCGATTATAATACGATTCGACCTTTAAACCTTCAAGAAAAGAGCGTATTCCTTTTTAAAAGGCCGGCAACGCACCTGTGACTCCTCTGGTGTTGCGGGTCAGCGGGTGACCATGAGCGACGCTGATCGCTAACCATCAGGTGATCCGTCTACTTATTTGCCTCCTATTCCATAAAAAAATAAGGTTAAATATAACTTTTGCACCAGGAAGCAAAGTAACGTAGTCACATGCGTTTTTTTTTACATTCTATCGAACCCTATATAACTTTAAATAAATATATAGGTACCTGTTACAACTAAATCCTCACATTTTAAAGGTAACTACGTTGCCTTTTATATGACATATTATGTTACCAGTTAATGAAATACTTATACCTATCAGAAAATATTGATCAACAATAGAAAAAGGAAAATCGAGCTGACTGAGCGAAGGATACCTATATCCTTCAACTAATTTGACTATAATGTAAGTGTATTAAATTAATGAATCAATAAATAAAAAACGTGAGCAAGTAAGTCTGTTTATGCGTGTTGCTTATATCAAAGTGTAGGTAAGTACATGCACAATCCTAAATCGTGGATCAGCTGATTAGTATTAAAATAATATCAGGCGCTTTATAATAAGTATATAAGATTAAAGTTAAACAATAGCACTGCACTGAATGACGCCTTTATGTTCGTTCAATATGTAAAAATATTGGCACTAACATAAAAGGCAAGTACCTCACTCATCTTCGGTTTACTGGCGATATTGTGATCATTGTAGAGTGGCAGGAAGACCTCGAACATTGCTGGATGATCTATGTCCAATTTCTCTACAGGTAAGGCTCTAGATGAACATAAGCAGTTCAGTTTGGAGATTAAGTTATCTGTATTGGTCCCAATTTGGGTCTCAGAACCTCGATTTTTACCTATCCCACAAACCAAGCAGTTGGAAGAACAATCAAGTCTTTTAAGTGTTCAAGAGTATAACAGCTTTTTCAAGAAATAGATGATCCAAACACTTAGGCGTCTTGCTAATGGTAATCACCAATCACTCTCAGGTCTTTAAAAATTCATTGTTATACATTCTTCGCAAGATATTTGCGGTGCCGTCGTCCTAAATTCCATACCAAATGACTGGTAATGATAGTTCACAAATCAGAGTAAGTAGTCACAATGGTAGCAATCGATTCATTGAGTAACGTCCATGCGATCACCGCTATATTTAGCGATGGCCGATACCTCTCTGATGGTAGATGGTCAACTGAATCTAATAATAGAAAATGCATCAGTGACACGAAGTAGCCGCGTGGTGGTTTTATTGATAGTGGGCTGGAAGGTCTGTTCTTGAGTCGGGAGTGTTTTATTTGGGAATCATCCATGTTTTGCCTAAAATGGCAGAAATGTTGGTGAAAGTTGAAGTGGTACTTAAACATAAGCATCATGTAACTTGGGACATTACTATAACGCCCCTTGTTGGGTAGATGGTTTAAAGATCGTAGTTAGATCACCAAGAATTAAGAGGACGTCACAGGCTACTGCCCCTGCTGACTGATCACATCTCAAGATTATAAGATTTTTTTCCTGGAAGATATTTTAGCAATACTACTAAGGGTTAATTTTTTAATCCTATATGAACACACATCATTATTTTAGTGGTCTCAGATCACTCGAAGCGCATTCTTATTAAACTAGATGATCACATCACAGTCCTACAATCATCTCTTGTTCCTTACCATTTTACCTTTCACTTAATAAAATAAAACTGAATAGACACTTACACCTCAGTTGTGCCAAATAAAATTCATCCTAACTAAGAACAGACCGTTTGAAATCGATAGCGATCAACATTACAGTAGTTAGTTCAATGAAGACACGCATCAAATCATAACTAAGTTGTGCACAATTAACAAATAGCACATTTCTCATCGACCAATCATGTGATATGGTCACGGGATTTTATCAATTAATCTATTAGTTGTGTTTTAAGATGGTCGTTGGTTGAAAGCTGTTGATTGATTCTTGGGATGGAAAGTTTCTGTTTGATGAAAACGAGGTCATACGATATTTGGGAGCCCTATCTGGGAACGAGTCACTAGATAGGTTGGCCAAGTGATCCCCTACTTTATGGTTGTTGACATTCATCAGCCGAATACCGAAAGCCCACACAAAAGTTTATATATTGGCCGAGTGGTCGCAAGTGGTCGGTTTTTAAAATAATTCTCAATAGTAACACGGAGTATTGAATTGCACCCGGTATATGGCAATAGGCTGACCCCCTATTACATGAGACTCATAACATAAATAGTGAAAAGTGGATGTTACATTGTACAGTGGCATAATTTTCACCTCTGCCTACCTGATAAAAGGGTGATATTATGTTATGTTTAAGTTGAGCTTCTATGTACCATTTTTAAAACGAGATATTACATGATCAACACGAACACCCAACATTCCGAAACCTAATTAGCGACGGGACGTCACACGAAACACACCAGAAAAACAGACAAAAACTGCGCTTTTCCATTTCTTAATTTCCGTTGAAATCTAATTAATAAACGGAAAAGGAAAACTCGCTTCGAAAGATAACCGGAGCATTGAACCTACGACCCGGACGGTATCGCCGCGGGTCATAAATTAAGAAAAAAATGTTCGTTATCTGCAGATTTTTTCTCCTTAATACGAGGACAATAAATGACGTTGCTTTAGGGATTTTACTATCAAGTTTTAAACTCCATTAAAGATTACATCGAAATCATAACCCTCCTTTTTATATACCCGGGTAAAAATGGATGCTTTTTATTAAAAGAACCTTGTCACTCAGAACTTAATAATTGTGATATCTTTTATAGAAAAATTTGTACTAAATCTTATTGTAGTTCACAATAAGACTTATTTTTATATTTCGTTAATTTCCTGAACACATGTAACAATGATTTATAATTGATAAAAAACAAAAAATTAAAAAACTTGATTTATTTCCTTATAAATTACAACAGAGAACAATATCTTATCAATACGAAAACAAAGACAAAAACACGTGACACAATTAGTAATTATAATTTAACTGCAGACTAGCTGATATCGATTAGATTAACTGCTGCTAATCACATACATGGTACATTTTCCAAAATACCATCAACTTTATAGTACATTAAGGCACATTATTGCACATCAATCTAGTTTCTATTACAACCTTCTGGCTTTAGTTGTAGTGAAAGTGACTAGTTCCCAAACTCTTAACATTTGAATTCCTATTTCTTCTCTTTAGGTAAAAAAATCATTTCTTCTTGTACAATGACAGGAGTCCTCTTAGTTCCCTTCATCCATTCGGCAATTTCTTGCAATGTCATGTCTTTAGTTTCAGGTAAAAATACGTAAATCAAAACCAAGAAGAATGACGTCGCTAGACCGAAGAATAAGAAAGCACCATGTGTACCCCAGGATTTGAATAAGAAAGGAGATATTTTAACTAAAGTACCTAATAATACTTTAGACGATAAATCCATACAACATGATGAAAGTCCACGAGCTTCTATAGAAACTAATTCACCAGATATTGTTTGTGTCAATATAACAGGTCCAAAACACAATCCTATTGAATATCCTATAAGCAAGAATATAGCAAAGTAATTGTTCTCTACTACTAATGACAACTTAATCAAGTATGCGTAACAGGATATTGATAAAAGAAAACCAATGCCTACTAAAGATGAGCCGATTAACAGTTTCTTTCGTGGCAATACTTTAGCTACTAAACATCCAATATACATACATAGTACAGTGACACCATCTAGAAGCAACATAGCAGTGTAAGGCGATATGTGGTGCCCAGCTGTAATTTTACTAATAATATCTATAGCATACACACTAAATACTACTTTACCAGAGAATATATAAAGAGAATGCACAATCAGACACAAAACCAAGGGCTTGTAAAACTGTCTTTTGGATATTATCTTTAAGTACCCGATAATGTATCCTTTCAAATTTAACTTGTTCTGCTGTGCTTCTAAATTGAGATTCTTTTGGTAGTTAATTAATTTTTCTAAGTCTGTTTCTGCTTGCTTGCCGAATCCCATCATCCATCTATGTGTATCGGCAGCCCTTTCGAAGCGCTGTTTAGTTGCCAACCAAAATGGAGATTCAGGGAGTACAATTGCTATCAACAGGCCATAAGCACTGCAGATGATACCAGCTAGACCAATGTTCCTCCAATGGAAGAATGTCCCAATAGCATTAGACATTAAAATACCCCAGAAAAGAGTAGCAGATTTCACAGTCAAGAAAAATCCTCTATGCTTGGGTGAGGTGTACTCAGTGATGATCATGACTGACACAGTGAAGTGGGATCCTGTATTGATCCCATTAATCACTTGGCTGATGATGATCTGATTGACTGTGACACTGAAGTAAAACACGATGAAACTTATCAAGTTGCTGACTGAGACGAACATGAAGGTGTATTTTCGTCCGATGTACTTCATGAAGATTGGTAAGATGCACGTCCAAGGTAAGCCGGAGTAGACCATAATGGCAGCTGAAACAGAAATTTAACTTTATTAGTACCTTATTAACTTTAAAACCACGAACATGTTTAAACAACGCTTGCTGGTTTTGTGTCAATACGATGTTATATTGTCAATGCTAACAATAATCTCGATAAAGTAACAAGTTACCATTATTCGATTTGTCGTCATATCCCACTTTTAGTGACCAACAAAGTCTCCTATCCTTTTAGACTGGCATCTCCAACTCACTTGCTAAGTGTGGAGGTTCTGGCAAAACCTTCGTATGTAGAGGCCATAGTTTAATAGTCTGTTGTCATCAGCTGATCTGATGAAAACGATGAGGAATAGAGAACTGTACGCAAAGAATTTCGATAACTAATACAATTCAGAAATTGTAACTTACGTATCCAAGAAGCAGTAGATTCACTGATGGCATCATCGGAGTTGGCCTCCTTCCTGATCTGTGGGATGAAGACTGTGGAAGCGCCGAAGGACATGCCCATGATGAAGTAGCAGGTCCAACCTCCACTGCTGATTGTCATCTGGAAGATCATTGTAATATAGGTTAGAGTATGTCTTGCTGATAGTCGTAGAAAGTCTAGAAACTTGTGAGTAATATTTTCGATTTCGTTTTGGTATCAAGTGACTCAATCTGTTTTTATAGGTACTTGAATCAACTATTGGTTTCTATTTTTTAATACTTTTTTTTATTTATTAAGGGAGGAAAATCATCTAATGACTGCCAAAGCTAAAAACTACCCCATTCCTTCTCCTGCACATCGAGCCGGAGCCCCGGTAACCCGTTAGGTTCTCTGCGACGTCTGTTTGACTATATGTACTGAATTATTAATTATTTACTATCAACTATCTCGTTGGCCGAGTGGTCGCAACTGCGACTGCCAAGCAAAGTATTGCTGTTTTTTTTTTAATTCTGGTAGTAGCACTATACCCCCTATTATATGGGACTCAAAACACAAAATAGAGATTAGTTGGTGTTACATTAAACAGTGGCAATAAGTGCCGTAATGTGCACGTCTACCTACTATTAAAAGGTGTGATGTTATTTTATGATAATTATTTTGAATACTCTATATAAGAGGACCAAAAAATTATGATCAAATCTATTGGTAACTATAGTTTTCTGTGCTCACGGCTTCGGGGAATAACGGGGTTTATGATATTATACGTTTAAACAAAGTTATTGGAATCTCACAGATTACATTAATCTGTTAATTTCTTTGGTTAATCCATTGTCATAGTGATATATTTTATTTGTGATATGATATCTAAATCATTTCTGACGGTTGGTGGATGATTTTTAATACCTTTAGATTTTATTGTAACTATTAGATTTATCCCTTAAAGGGCAACTAAGTCCTTAAATGTAAGAGAGCCGGCACGAATAGGTATCTTTGACCGGAGTGATAAAACGCTTGAGTTGTGTTTCGCTCTGTGAGTGACCGGCGTCTAAAGCCTAAATCCACTATTTCTCAAATCCCTAACACTCAAAAGGCCGGTAATGCATTTGCAGCTCGTATGGGTAATACATATTAAACTAGATTTTTTTTAAATAAAACTTTGTCCCATACTAGGTTTTTCTCCTGTCGTGGTGTCCCGGAGGTTCAAGGCACCCGCTTCTCATGCATGAGGGTGTGGGCTCGAAACCTACCAACGGCAAGTACCAATGTGACTTTTTCCGAGTTATATGTACTTTCTGAAACTATCTAGACACCACTGACAAACGGTGAAGGAATGCATCGTGAAGAAACCTGGGCTTATAATGTCTAACTATAAGTTTGTAATCGCTAACCCGCATTGAGCAAGCGTGGTGAATAATGCTTCTCCGTGTGAGAAGAGGCTTTCATCAGCAGTGGGCATTTATAGGCTGTTGATGAGGTTTTCCTCCTGTGTTGTGGGTGAGTTAACAAACATGTAATTTCACATACACATGATATCCAGACCCGAAAAATTAATTTATTTCGTTATGATTGTACACCAATCGTCTGAATGTTTAGTATCAGTTTTATATAATGTACTTACTTATTAGAAGCAGGAAAATTTGTGAATTAAATCTCAAGAGCTAAGTATTTCTAATTAGAGATAAGACTGCTAAATAAATATTTTGCCTTGTAATAATCTAGACAATCCATAGATTTCTACACATTTTATCGACGTAACAAACTAATTAAAACAATATTTGAATGTGTTTGTTAACGGAATATGCAAGGCTTCTTATGAAAGCAAAAATGTACAAACGGCATACATAAATAATAGAATAAATAAAGATACTGCTATAGTTTAAATGCTTATTCTTTTCTGTTATAAAATAAAACCGAAAGCGTGAGTGAGGTTAGTGGAGACCCAAACCTAAAATCGCCGCGGAGAACCTAACGGGTTACCGGGGCTCCGGCTCGAATTGCATGAGTAGGAACGGGGTGATTTTTAGTCAGTAAGAGTCTGACACTCCCTCGTGCCTCACTCAGACGGGAGAAGTCATTCGATGATTTTCCCCAATTAAAAAAAAATACCCGAATCCACAATAAGCCTCAAATTCCTAATTCCCAAAAGTCCGGTAACGCACTTGTAATACTTCGGATGTTTCGGGTGACCATGGGCGGCACCGATTACTTTATCAACATCTGATCGTTTACCTACCGGATAATTCCATAAAAAATCAAAAATCATTATCCGAAATCAATTCACAATGTAGAAGACATCAATTTTTTTTAAATTACGTATTTGTGTATTTAACTTGCGATATTATCTAGCAGACATAATGCACCATTTCTTAGCCAATAGCACGACCGTTGACTGATCATGAGATTAGATAGTAGTCACTGATGGCGCCAATTTGCGCCAAAACATAACTAGCGCCATCTATTTATCAGAAATAAGAAAAACAAGGTTTTTTTTAAGGGGGGAAAATGATCGAATGACTGCTCCCGCCTGGGTGAGGCGGAAGGGAGTGTTAGACTCTTACTGACTAAAAACCACCCTGTTCCTTCTCCTGCACGTCGAGCCGGAGCCCCGGATACCCGTTAGGTTCCTGGTAGGTGCATTCTATTATAAGTATTTTTTTATGGATGATATAACTTTTTATGGATCAAGCAAATTATAAAAGTTGTGACTGTTATAAAAATGAAACACGAAAAATTAATTTTTAAAGAACGCAAATTAACTTGACCTCCGTTCTGTCAATTCTAATAGTTACTAATAGGTATTATAATTATGAATACGGTTTAAGATACCTATTGTATGATTAATTATCTATGTTTATGTTAAGACCACTTTCGAAAGGCGAAAATCATCCAATGTCTCTTGTCGTCTTGAGTGAGGCTAGTGATAGTGTCAGACTCAGACTCTTATTGACTGAAAACTCCCCCTCCTCCTGTTCCTCGAGCCCAACCCCAGCAGAAAGTTAATTTTTAAATTATGGTCTAAATACATACATACATAACCTCACGCCTGTCTTCCATAGGGTAAGCAGAGACCATTTAACACCAATTGCCACTATTCTAAATGAAAGTCGAAATTATCAATGTGTATGTCATTAAAAAAAAGACAAGTGCCAACAAGTTATATGCTTGATTTTTTGATACGAAACTGGCTCGACGGATGTCGATAAATGGCAAATAGAAAGGCCATGAATAACACAGACACACCGAAGTTTGTGCGATTTTATCAACAATGATATAAGTAGATACAGTGGTCAACGTAATTGCTTAGTATTAAACAACCTTTCTTATGTTATAATATAATAAGTATTAGTAGTAGTTTAATTAGATTATATTTTGCTCCATATATTGCCGTGCCCTAGCCGGGTTTCATGTTGAAACTGGACCCCATGTAACACTAATTGTACAATGATATGCAATTAAAGAATTTGAATAATTTCTGTCAAATTTCTTAGATAAAAGTAGTTATATAGTTTAGACATAAAGCTGAAAATGCAATGACAAAAATTTACATATTGGAGTAGTTTGATGTGAGCTGGCCACTGTATGATTCGCTGACTCGCGGTAGTTTTAACACATATAAATAAACCTTAACCTACCGACCCGGCCCGGCTTCGCACGGCTGCAATATGCATGTATTATACATATAAACCTTACTTAAGAATCACACTATCTATTTAAAAAACCGCATCAAAATCCGTGGCGTAGTTTTACAGATCTAACCATACATAGGGACAGACAGACGGCGAATATCGACTTTGTTTTATACTACCTATATAGTGATAATATTAGGTACAATATTTTAAAGAATTCGCTGTACCCACATTTTGAAATAAGTTGTCAATATTGTTACTATTATATAAAGGTCCTACTATTAGTAAATGTTTTTTTCACATTATCATTAATGCACCTCTGAGAAAAGCATAGAAAATAGAAAAACAAGAAGCCAAAAGAACAGGAGAAAAAGTGCTCAACAATTAACCACTGTTTGCCGGCTATGTTATACTTAAATCTAATATTAAAAAAAAACAAGCTTATTGTATAGGTACCCAATTACTCCCTACTCAATCTCCCCAATCCCCGAATACCCAACAATCCTCAAATTCCTAATCCCCAAAACGTCGGTAACGCACTTGTAACCTCTGGTGTTCCGGGTGTTCATGGCCGGCGCACATTGCTTTCCATCAGGCGATCCGTCTGCTAGTGTTTTCTTTTTTTTTGGGACAACCCCGCCACATCCTCCCAAAACCGCTGCAACTCCTGTAAGCCAGGATCTACAGGAGATACAACCATGAAAACACCGTCTGCTAGTTTATCGGTTTACCCCATATAAAAACAAAATGATTTACTTAATTGAAAAAATTACATAATCGTACCTGTCTTAAGAAATATTTCCTTTTCTCCCATTTGCTTTCTTTACGTTCATATTTCTCCATGTCAGTCATTTTGCACAGAATCAATTAGCAACTGACGATAGTTTTACAAATCTGCGACGCCGATATTATACTTTTATCTAATCGCCTACATTAATGGATAAATGAATTTCTGATTTAAGTATATAGTTATTTGATAAATGTGTATCTATTTTTATGATATTTTCTTTGTCGTTGATCAAAATAAAGTTGTAATTAGCTGTTTTTTTTGTGTTCTCTGGGAAGGGCAGTCGTTGAATGTTATGGGTTGTTAAACCCTTTTTATAATATAAGTACTATTTATTAGTCCGTCTAGATGAGATAACATAGGGACTATAATTTTTAAAAGAGTAAAGTCAAACTCAACACTCCTTCTTTCAATAAAACGTCAAAACAAAATAATAAAATTGTCAGTCTCAGCCAGTATCAATCTGTCAGTAAAAAAGAAATTCTTATTAGTCCTTTCTCCACGCATTAACGCTATGAAAACAGGCACCTACCTACATATTTAGATAAATAAAAAACGATAGCAGATTTGTAAGTATGTCCTATGCGCGCATAGCTTCCGAACTACTCGATCACATTCGATAATTGTTTGTCAGTCTTTAGTCATTAAAAAAAAATGGTTTCCCCACACTAGGATAATCTCCTGTGTCGTGGGTGCGTTTACAAACATACAAGTTCACATACACATGACACCCAGACCCGAAACAACAATTTGTGGATCACACAAAGTGTTGTTCCGTGCGGGAATCGAACCCGCGACACGTTGCACGGCAGCCGGTTGCCCAGCCACCGGGCCAACCGTGCAGTCAAAGTCATTGTTGTTTAAGATTTTTACCAGGTATTCAGAAATTGGGGTAGGCCTCCAGTCCGCAAAACTCAATAGCTATCTAATATATGTTTCTCATAACAGTGTAACTAATCTTGATCAATTAAGCGATAAAAAACTAAAACATCTTGGATTGTATTCAAATAAGAGTTTGTCGGTAATATGCAGCATTTCTAAGAAATTGTATTAATATGTATACATTTACTATTAACACGAAATCCATTGTTATCTTTAGCTAAATACTTAATACCTCATAATTACATGAAGACAGAATTGAATTGCAACACTTCATTGAAAACTGTGAAGACATTATGTTAATAGCAAGTTTTTGCGAGTTTTTTGTGAAACAAGTGAGAGACAAGTGAATTTATTTCTGCAAATAGGCTACAAGGCAGCACTTTTACACGTCAATTTTATCAAGCGAACGATGAGGCCGACATTTCCTAACTAACTACTCTGAGAAGAAATGCCGAAACAAATTCAGAGGTCCGTCTCTTTTTGTTTGTATAGGTCCACCATGGAACCTTTTTCGTTATCGTCCCGAAGAAAAATGTTTTTGTCTTAGTAAAGCAATAATTTTACAAGGAAATAAAATGTTTAAAACAAAAAATAAACCAATGTAAAAAGCGCATACGACCTCATAGTATGTACATTATCAAAAAATCGCGCTATGTAGTAATTTTAGAAGAGGTGTTACTCGTAGGGTGGCACGTGTGATGCGAATAGTGCCTACAAATACTTACGTCTAGTCTTTTATGTTGTTTTTTTAATTATTTTAATTATTATTTTTTATTTTATCTATTTAGCTACATCATTTCTGAGCACCTATAAAATGTAGGTACACAAAAGTGACGTTACGCGATATTTCAAATCAATAATTAATGTCGTCGAAAGTATTTCTTGGCGGAAGCAAATAAAAAATACGTCTCGTTTTTTTAAGGGGCGAAAATCAACGAATGACTGCTCCCGCCTGGGTGAGGCGGGAGGGAGTGTCAGACTCTTACTGACTAAAAACCACCCCGTTCCTTCTCCTGTACGTCGAGCCGGGAGCCCCGGTAACCCGTTAGGTTCTCTGCGACTCCGAATCGGCATCGGCCCTGTTGGGCCCCATCTATGGTGGTCTATGGCTCTTTGAGGCGAGCGCGGAACGCAACGCGCCGTACGCTCAGGAAAAATACGTGTCTAATGTTTTAAAATAATCTACCAGACGGACATTAAAATAACAATTTGTCAATCTTGTGTTATTCTCAGTTTGAAACTTCATAATATTTTAACGCACCTAAGAACCCGGGACTAAGACTAAGACTCACACGAGCCCAGAAACAGTAAAAGAAATTAAATCATAGACTCACCTGTCGAAGGAAATATTTCTTCGAATTGTACCATTTCATAACACTAGTTTTTTGAAATTCGTCCATCTTGTGTTAATAAAGTTGTTTATTATAAATGTGATTTATTAAATATCAAATCAATTAATTTTTTTTATTCACACAAACGTCATTAATTTACTAAGTACCTATTTTCGTTTAGGTTTATTTACGTTTAATTGAAAATTTTGGCATACCAAATAGCCATAACTAAACAGACAACAAATAAATCGAGAAAAAAAATCTCCCAAAATTATCTATTAGATAACTGTAGTTTAATTTAATTTTTTAGTATTATGTAATTAAATCTTTTTATTTATTTTCACACCTCACACTATTTTAGCCGATTAACCCGACTGTGAGCCAAATAAAAAAATATTAGGATTTATTAAACAATTTAACTACATAGTCCAGTACCAATCACTAGAGAGCATCTAAAGATATCTCAAATGTAACTGACTGAACTGTTTAAAAAGTCATAATGGCTGAATTAATACTGTAAGGCGTGACAGGGTAAAAACTGCAGATTACTATAACTAGGTTTAATAATTATATCCTCATTAAACAAACGAATGACCGATTAAAACTGTGCCAACGAATAATATTGTGAACAAGAAAATCAGTTTGTTTGTTAGTTAAGGTATATATGTTATCTGCTCAGCACGTATCTACTCAACCAATCTTCTTAAAATTTTGCATTCATATAGCTGAATGTTCCGAAAAAGATAAAAGGTAAGTCTGTTTTATGTCGAAAAAAATTACGCAGGCAAAGCCGTGAGTGAAAGCTAGTTGCTCGTAAATTGGTATAATTTGGCTAATTATTGATTGCGAAAGTATTGATTCACGTCATTCAGTAATCAGAGGTAAGTGCGAGTCAGTTTCCATGCCGAGGGTTCAATAAAAATGGGTTCTTAGGGACAAAGAAATAGACTTGAAAATCGTCTTTTTGCAAATTTGGTACCTGGGTGTTTACTCGAAAACCATTAACTTTTATTAAACAATTTTTTCATGGAAAAGCGAGCAGACGTATACGTGATGGTAAGCAATCGTCGCCGCCCATGGACACCTGAAACACCAAGACGTTACAACTACGTTACCGGCCTTTTGGGAATTTGAGGATTCGGGAATTTGGGAGACTGGGGAGGGGGATAATTGGGCCTCCGATAACTTCACTTACACGACGAAACACAACGCAAGCGTTCTTTCACGCCAGTTTGAGGTCGTGATAATATATCACTGCGGTCGAGTTGGGCCATTCGTGCATGGCTGCTCCACTGAAAATACTGCTTTCATATTTTATTTAGGATAGCTTATTAAAAAAAATACATAACTATTGATTCCCAAGAAAATAAAAATGCAATCATAACTCATCTACTTATTACTTTGACTTTGAAGTGAGAGACCGTGGAATGATAATTTCCATAAAAAATATTACAATTACTCTCTCTACCGTTTACACTTAATAACAGTCATGAATGAGGCTAGATCAGTGGTTCCCAAGCTTGTCTGGACTATGACGTATCTATTTCAAGTTCCCAAAATCGTGGGTCTTTAGGGAATTAAATTGGTTGGTGCATCTTGCTAAAGAGAAAAAAAAATCGCTTCCGACCTACTAATGGGTCGCGACCCACAGTTTAGGAAAACCATGGTCTTGAACACAAGAAGGAATCAAGTAATTTTTCCATTCATTCTTAACTAGCTGTGTCCGCGGTTTCATTCGTGTGGAATAGTGATTTACTGCGCATACTCCGTAGGTGACATTGTGATAATATGTAGTCTATATATTGACCCGACCCGTTAGTACTTAATAATCACATAATCATACAAAATTTTAAGTAAATCCATGCAGTGCTTTTTGAGATCATACATACAGAGAAACAGATAAGCAGACAAGATTTTAAAAACCATATTTTTGGCTTCAGTATCGACTGTAGACGAGGCCCCAAGTATTATATACAGTTTTGACTTTTCTACGATTTTGTTATATGTATAGATATAGATCATTGTGGTAACCGAAAAGTAAAAATGTAGAATATTTATAATCACCATGCTATTCTAAAGCGTGTCACAGGATCTGAGGCCTTGAGTTTGTTTTACGAATACTTTAAACGTAAAACAAATTCGTACTAAGGCCTCTGTTCTACACATTTGACAGAGACCGGGCAGCAATGATAAACCTAAGTCTTTCAATCTGCGATTCCCAACTCCCCTAGTATGGAGACCATCGTAAAGGAGACCTATATAGTCGCAAGTAATGTAACCAACATCAAGATCCCACGACAGTTTAATACTAACCATTTCCTTTTTCTTTCTGTCTACTCTTCTAAAAGACAAGCGTGATACTATGCACATGTGAATGTACGTAGTTATCGTACTTATAAACAAAAATATCTTGTGATAACAAAAGACGTAAGTAAGTGCGACAAATTATAAATAAAATCTGTTGGTCAGCGATTAAAGTGATAGTGTAGTCTCGTATTAAGTGAATTGGCGTGTATGTACTTATTATAAGTTTACGAGCACATTAATCGGAGCATGCGATTTTTTTAGTTGCATAAAATAAACATATTTTATGGCATACATTTGCCGATTAAAGAGCAAATGGAACATCTTATGGTAAGCAATCGGTGCCGCCTATAGACACTCGAAATTCCAGAGGCGTTACAAATGCGTTGTCGGCCTTTTGAAGATTTTTGGAGATTCGGGGATTGGAAAGATTGGGGTAGAGAGTGATTGGGCCTCCGGTGTCCTCACTCAAACTCACTTGGTTTGACAGAGAGCGATGTTATCCTTTTTATGTCAAATTTATAGTTACTCCTTCCTGGGTGACGCGGGGTTTTTTTTATGGCACAAGCCGGTAAA